CTACGTGGCCTCCGCGATCCGCAGCCGCTCGTCGTAGGCCCAGGAACGAGCACGTTTGCCCCCCGCCGAGCCCTCGGGATGAGAAAAATGGAAAAAAGAAGGAAAATAGAAGCAAATCTAGTCTCGGAAGACCCTACGTGGCCTCCGCCATCCGCCGCCGGTCGTTACAGACCCAAGAATGAAGCACATTAATCTCCTAGACCAAAAACCCACCGCGTTTGTCCCTTGGCGCGTCCTTGGGATGAAAACGATGAAAAAAAAAGAAAAAAAAAAGAAGAAAATTAGTCTCAAAAGCCCCTATCACCTGCCTGATATCGTTTCCAACTCGATGTGCCCCAAAACAACGTCCTATCAACATCACCCTCTTCCAACCAGATGTCCTCAATGTCACCGGGGCCGAGGCGCGGTACCGAGCAGGAGAGATAAAACACATTTCCTGCCACCAAAATGGTCTTTTTTAATTTTGGGGGAAGCAGAAATAGGTGTTTTGGGGGAATTTGGGGAAGATTCGGGGTGTGGGGAAGGGCAAGGAGCTGGGAACCCCACCAAAAATTGTGTTTTCTGCCTCAAAACCCCCCAAAACCTCAACAGGTCAGAGTCCAAATAAGTGTTTGGGTCTCCTGGGTGACAAATCAGCAATTTTTGGTCCTGGTCTGGCCAATTTGCGGATCCCTCACCCCAAAACTAGAAGGTCTCTGTGCCCACTGTTTGATCCACCCTCCTATGGGGATTTACTGCCAAAAATATGCCGAAAAACTCATCATCGGCCCGTTTTTCCCTCCCCAAAAAGAGGCACCAAAAGCAGGTTGCAGCTACGTTCCGTTTTTATTGCACTGCCAAGAAGATCTAGATCCTTTATCTTAGTCTTTTTTAAGTTCTTTAATCGCATTTATTTCGTCATTTCTGTCCTTTTGCTGCCGTGGAAACGTTCCTGATGTCCCAGATGGAAACCAAGCGCTGCAAGGGGGGGTATTTTTGGGAGGCAGTCCCATCGGAGCGGGATTTTGCTGTTTTTCCACCTCCTCATCCAACTCTGGGATGCTGGAGAGGGGAGGGAGGCCCCTCATGGCGATGCCTCGGGGACGGGGGCGGGCGGCTCAGGCAGGGCGGTCCGTGAGGCCTTTGGGGCGGCCTTGGGGGTGACAGGTCGGCGCTGCCGTCGCGCTTCGGCGGAGACCTGCTTGTAGATGTCGTTCACGAAGCTCGCCATGAGGGCCTGCGCCTGGGTGGACATGCTCCGCTTGCCCGTTCTCGGCCCCTTGGAACCGCGCGGGTGGGGGGAACCCTTCCGCCCGCCAATCCTCACCGCCCGCCTTGGCTTGTGTGGACTCTGATACTGCTTCTGCTTGGCCACCCGCTGGGTTTTCAACCTCCGTTGAGAGGCGCTTTTTTTGCTCCCTTTCTCAGCCGCTGCCATCGCTCTTGTCCTGCCTCAGCGCCCTGGTGACTGGAGCACCTGCCGCCCCCGCCTCACCTTTTATACCCTGCGGCATGCAAATGAGGTGCTCGGAGCCCTCCCATTGGCTGAGGGGAGCCACGCCCCCGTGCGTCACAGTGCTGCCTCACGGGCGACTGCCTCGCGGTTGTTCGTCGCTGACAGAGTCGGCCATTTTGGGGCCTCGTGTAAATGGGGCCGTATCCCATAAAAACACCCTCGGGTCTCCTCCCCTTGCCTCAAAGATTTTAAAAATGGTCCATTTTGGTTGCCTTTTTTTTTTCCTTTTTAAAAGGATTTAGAGTCGATGTCACCTCTGGTGATGGAGCCAATGGGTAGTGCTGCACCCCCAGGCTGAGGTCCCCATTAGACTCACCGCACGCACAGCGATTTCCGCAGCAGATTAAAGATGATTTAGGATCTTTAGTTATTTATAAGCGCTGATAAAAGGCTAATATTATCATGCCCAAGTGGAATATGGGAATATGGAACCATCAAAGCAGTGGATCCCACCGTCTCCCTTGGATCACTTCCCGTGAGTCAAAAAGCAAATAATGTCTTGGCTCCCTGCTTCAAAACAGAGGCAGGAGCTAAACGGTGTTTGGGTCAAGCTTCCCAGCTTTTGGGGCTCTTCGCAACCCAAAATAAAGCAGATTCGCTGCAGGTATGCACAGGGGCACAGGGGATTTTTTTCCGCCTTTTCCCCTCATCCCATCCCACAGGACAGGGCAGCAGCAGCCTGCTGAAAAGCCTGCGGAACAAAAGTGGGAATCGTCCCCCTGGAAAGATGTCATTTCCTTAAAAGATAATAATAAAAAATATATAGTTTTTCTAGCTTGAAGACACACCCCCCCCATCTCTCACCGCCTACTTTTGCCCTGGCTGAGGCCTCTGCCGCCATTTTGGAAGTGGGCAGCGCCGCCATTTTGGAGGCGGGGGGGGCGCGGTCACTTTTGTAAAGAGACGCCATTTTGGAAGCGGATGCTCCTCTTCTGAGGCCATCCGCCCCCCTCACACACACGCACGACCCCGAAAAAGCGGTTTTTCACCTCAAATTCGCCCCCAAAGGGTGTTTTATTTGTGCACTGTTTCTTCTTTTCCCCCCATTTCAAGCCAGGTCGCTCAAGCCACGCCAGGACACCCAGCAGCAACCAAAGTGAAGAAACTTCCCTTATGCTCGTGTGTCCCCCAAAATGTTTTTTATGTGAGAAAAAAAATGATGATGACATCCCAGAACTCCCATAAAATGCCCCATTTTGGCTCAGAATACCCTATTTTGCTCCCACTGCCCAGTTCCAGACAATTCCTTGAGGTTTCAGTGGTCCTTATCTCCGCCTTCAATCGTTTTTTGCTGTTTTGTCTGTATTCCCTCATGATATCCGAGAACATCCGCTGTTTAGTCTATATTTTCCAGCAACAACAGCAAAAATAAGTCATTGGGGGCATTTTCTTCTGTTTTCCTTTTTTACCTCAGCCACCAGCTGAGGGGGCAAAAAGGGGCTCTTTACCAATAATCGCCCAAGCAGCCTAAGTTTGGGACCAAAAGGGGCATTTTGCGGCTAGGCTGGGGGGTGTCACGATGCAAAAAGTTATGGCCAAAACAGGGAATGCCCCCCCCCACTTTGGCCCAGGTGCCCCCCCACACACACACACCCTAAAGAAGGACCCAGACCCCTCCATACAGCAGATAAGCCCAGGTGTCCGGACCTCCCCCACACACACACCCTAATTAAGGACTCAGGGATGGAACCAGGATTTTCCCGTTGGAAAATGGGCCCAGGCGTCCGAG